AAAAAAGCAAACAAAATACTACTCGTTTATTTAGAGACTTAGCTATAAAAAAGGTATGAAATTTCTAAACCAAAACTCATCTTAGCAGATTTCTCTGCACATAGTCCCATTGGTTGTTTGAGGGTAGGATCTTCCAGTCCGTCTCTGACCAAGCCGTCCTAGGACAAAACGGTGAAACAAAAGCGGCAAACACAATGTTCAGCTTAAAAAGCCACCTTCACGGTAGTTCCTCCATAAGGTATTTCGTTTCGCTCGAGGTAGAAAGGAACCTAGAGAAAAAGCTTAGCGTAACTAAGTAATTTGCGAAACGCCGTATACTTACTTGACTCATATTTTCACATCCAGCAACAAGAACCTTCTTTCGGTAGCCACATTTGATTGACATATGAGCAAAAGCTAAAGCTTTCATAGAAGATGAACATACTTTGTTTACTGTCACGGCTTGTGATGAATTAGGAATACCTGAAAAGCTCAACACAAAAGGCTACTCATTATAAGATCGAATAAAAGATGCGTACCAACAGAGAGGGCAACTTGTCGTGCAACATTCTGGCCGCAGTTGGCTGTCAATACGCAACCAACAAACGATTCCTCAATTTCTTCCGGATTGATACCTGAGCGAGTTTCGCAACAAGGAATTTTGAAGCAAAGAGTAGTTTTCGCACCTGATCTCTCAATAGCTGCTCGAGCTGCTGTAGCGGCTAGCTCTGTAGCACTTATTGTTGAAAATGAGCCCCGAAATGAAGCAATTGGAGTTCGAACTCCAGAAAGAAGAAAGACCTGCTGAAATATCAATTTCTAGAAACACACTGCTTACAAAGAGCGATTTCTCAACATTGCCACTGTGTTATGTTTCTCAAGTCTACATTCTGATACATTACCTCAAATTCACAAAAAATACTAAAATTGTGTCACCCCACTCAATAAAAATTGTAGAGACTTCGATTGCAATTTACAGAACATTAAAGCAAAAAAATCTCCGAAGTTGTACACATTCTTATAGAAAAGTTTACACATGACTCTCCAAAGGGGGTACAACGTCCCTGCACAGTTCCGTTTCGACAGGGACAAGTCCTCTATAACTCAAAATCAGCATTGACACTGCCGCTCAGTGCGTATCAATGATAATCTCCGTCGCGGCTAGTGGGGAAAAACAGGGATAATCAGATCCCATCGAATGTCAAGATATTGATATAATAGTTTCGTCAGTTTCCAAACTGTTTCAACCACGATCAATACGGTATACATGGATCGGGCTAAGTTTCAAGGAGTTTGCTTTTATCGGTCTGTATGTACTTTCGTGGTTCAAACCTACAAACATAAACAAGTTGCTTCTCAAGACCAAACACAGTTAAGCTTGAGAAATGACGCAGTTATGCTGAGATTGCAGTTTTATTCTATTTTAAATTTTTGCCCTATTTTGAATGTGTTCACACGTTGAGACAAAAACCCTAAACTTCCTTAAATCCATTTTGGATACTCCAATACACCGAGTAAATATCTTTTGTAATGCAGTAA